TAACATCAGGATGAGCTCATATCTTTAAAAAGGTCAATATTTAAGAAAGTACAGTACAATTTAGCAAACATCTTGTAAAAAAATTGACATTTTTAAAGATATAAGCTCACTCCGATATTACAATCATCGAGACCTTTCATTTGAGTACCCACATCAATTTTTCATATATTTTATATATTTATATATATTATATATATGTATATATGAAAAATATATCAAAAATGCATGTGGGTACTCAAATGAAAGCTCTTGATGAGTGTAACATCGGGATGAGCTTATATCTTTAAAAACGGCAATAATTAAGAAAATACAGTCCAATTTAACAAAAGCAATTATTTAATAAAGCAAAATTTTATTTATTTATAGTTTACAAGTCACGACAGTCACATTGTGACTGCAAGATTGCTAGTTTTTAAATAAAAAATTACTTTAATAATTTTTTGATAAAAAGTTACATTAATTATTTTTTAGATCAAGACGTTGATTTGCGTACATTAGACCGTCAAATAGATCCAAGACTTGCTAGGATGGACCAAGATTTACGAGCACCAGCTCAGCCCCAAATACCGCAACCAATAGCACCAGTGAGTGTGCCTCCAGTGATTCCACCCTCGGTCGTTGACACGCGCAACACTGGATTCATGCCTGACAAGTGAGTGTTAATAACTTGTACATTAGTTAATAATTAACTATTAATAATTCTGAACAATTGGGTACTATGGTTTAATTAGATTTAATAATTTAAGCAGCGCTCTTCCTGCTGAGGGAATAGAAAGGTTTTATGACTTAATTTTAATTATCTATTTAATTATCAACTGGGTTATTAATTTTATTTATTCAAAAGTTTTTGCAGAGACCCCAGAGCTGACAGGTTTGGACGCGATCCACGTGACCCTAGGATGACAATTGATCCCAGAATTCCTAAAGTCAATGGTAATGATTATTTTCAATCTTTAATTTTTAATTATTAGTTATTGTTGGCTGTAAGTTATTAATTATTGATTTTTTCAACAGCACCGGCAGCAATAGTTCCACCTCCGGTCCAAAGACCTGTTGTTACATCGACGGTACCACCACCAATAGCACCAAGCACTTTAAATTCAACTCAACCACCTACAACAGCTGGTATTCCTTCTAATAATTCAACAGCGACTTCGAGGCTTATGGCTGGCATGTCTTCATCCGGTAGCATTCCATCTGGTGCTTCGGATCAAGAAAAAGTAAATTTATTGATTATATTTATTTATTTATTTTTTAGTAAACAAAATTGCAAAATATTTCATTTAAAAATTTTAGTTAAATTATTTTAATAATTAATTATATAAAAAGTTAAAAATAAAAAAAAATAATTAAAAAAAAGATTTTTTTTCAACTCTGGTAATAAAAAAAATTTTCTGCAATAATTTAATAACAATAAATAATTGAAGTATCAGATTCATTTCTGTAAATGAAAAAAGTAAAGATAAATTATCAGTTACAAGAAAATTATTTTCTATCATCTTTTTCGTTGAAAATGTATCTTTTTTTATTAATTAATAATTTATTGTTTCAGGCGGCTTTGATTATGCAAGTGCTTCAATTATCAGATGAACAAATAGCGATGCTACCACCAGAGCAAAAGCAGAGTATCCTTGTTCTTAAAGAACAAATTGCTAAAAGTACACAGCGCTAATAATATTTTTAATATCAATATTATCATCATCGTATTAAATATATTTAATACATGTCCTTATATTATCTTTTATATTATAAGAATATAATTATAATAGGTTTAAATATAATTATCGACTTATTTTTAGCTTGTTATTTAAATCTTTTTACACAGCTTCTGATTATCCAAGATAGTGTAAAAATTGTTTAAATACTTTTAATAAGCTAACTTTTAATAAATAATTTACTTGAAATGATTCAATTAAGAGTTCCATTTTTGACATTAATACTGACTATGATTAATAATAATCATTTGTATGTACTAGGTAATAAATTTAATTATTGATTTTAGAGTTTTAGGTGATAAATATAAAATTTTTAAATAAATACTTTGTATTTTTTATTACTGATACTTTTCTTTGATTTTGGTACTTATTCAATTAATGAAATCATTAATTTTAATAATGAATATATATTATTTCTAATCTTTAGATCAAAAAAATTTTTAATTCTTATTCCAAGTAGAACATTTTTTCATTGAAATAAAAAGTGTCACTAATGGGGTCTTTTACCTTACTAGTTATTTAGAAAAAAAAAAATCAATTATTAATTATAATAATTTTATTATAAAGAAATACACAAAGAAAACTTATATGTTTAAAGAATAATCATATCAATAGAAAAAAATAAATTCTACTACAATCTCATCAAAACTAAGAAATATTATACTGAATTAAACTTATTCTTGAGATTAATAATACTTTTATCAATTATTTAAGCTACCATATTCTGATTTTTGGTACAAAAATACTTTATCAAGCTAAGTATTAAAAAAATAATTATTTAAATCTTCAATGAGACGCTAAAGCATCTTGAAAACTCTGAAATTTTAAACTAAAAATAAAAAATACGAACACAACTGATAATAAAATAAAAATAAAGTTTCTTCTCATCTAGCATTCTAAATAAATTTCCACCCACAATAATTCTTAATAAATATCCTTAAGCTCAGCTTCGAATACTCTGCGATCAATCAAAGGCTGGTAGAAAAGTCTTTGAGGATTCTTCATGTCATAAATCTGAACGACAGTGCATCCATTTTCTCGCTTCACAACCTGGACATTAAATTTGACCTTTTCGCAAGCTTTGTGGAGCCAATCAACAGCTCCCGAAGAATTATCCGTAACCCGGGTGTTCCAGAGCCGGCACTTGATGGCCATCCTCGGAACCTTCATCCAGTCCTTGGGAATTTTCCGTATTTCTTCCTTGCTCTTCCACTCGACCGAGCCCCAGTCGATGAACTCTACTTGAGTCAATCCATCAGTGCCTCGATCGGTCATGATCGTGCATCGGTACCAGGCGTTGTCTTTACTGTACACGGCCAAGCAAGGGTCGCCTATTTCAAAGAACGGCAATGTAGAGCATCCACCAATATTGAACCCAATATCGTACATCATCGCGTCATACTTCTTTTTGAAGTACTGAAATGCCGGATGATCCTTGCTAGAAATCGGGTGCAAGTACACAATATTGGGCTTTGAAGTGTCAACGTGGCCCATTACCGCTTCGAAGCTTCGTACCTCTACCGGCAAGGTGAAGATCGGGTAATTTGAACCTTCTGAAGGAATGAAGTCGCCATTTGTCAGCCCCAGTTCCTTCACAATTAAAATTGACAAGTCATTTTCCGGTAAATCATCATCATTATCATTTTCATGGTCATTTTCAGTTTCCAAGTTCGCTTCATGTTCCATCGACTGAAGGTCCAAGTCTGTCATATTTTCTATTTCTATGATAACATCATCGGAATTATCTGATTCAGAATCATCTTCGTCTTCAAGTTCTTCAAGTTGACCCCCATATTTTATTTTATAATTTTTTCCGTTCAGCATAACATCGTCGGACATGACCTTTAAAAAAAAAAAAATTATATTTAAAATATAATTATATTTAAAAAAAAAAAATTATTATTAATGAAGAAAAAAAAAAGAATACCTTTCTTAATTTAACAATAAAATTCTCCGTCAAGTAAGTTATCAAATTGCATTTAGGCTCCAACAACTCAATATTGACCAAAACTTCCGGTGACTGTGAGACAATAGTAACCTGGCAAACTTTATCTACCAGCAGAACGTGAAGCTTATCCAAATCTTCCTGCCGCCAGATTTTATTCGGAGTATCAGGAGTCATTTCATAGACCTTGCACTTGGTAGCTTGTCTCGGAATATTCTCAAGAAGAAGCTCTTTGCGTAGAAATTTCTCGTCTTGCCACATCATATTCCCATAATCAATGTATTCAATTGCAATTTTTTCTTGAACGCGATGGACCAGTGCCCGGGACCAGGTGTCCTGAAACTTAGCAATGCACATATCTCCAATATTCCAAGTTTCTCTCTTCCAAGCCGAGTCGCGGAATTTTTGATTGAGAGTATTTTCAATCCACCTAATCGTGTCGCAATTATTTTTAATGGGTACCAGATGAAGATAGCCGTCCCAGTTGATGTCAGTGACCAGGGCATTGAACGGCTCTGAAAGTTCAATCGGTTCCGCGGGGAGCCACTGAGGAATACCCTTTGGAAAAGCTGCAAAATTCGGAAAAGGAACTTCTTTAAACTCAGGATTTTCTTCTACTTCTTGTTCGTCTTTAAGCGTTTTTTCGCTGTCCTGAGATTTAGTTTCTCCTTTAGGATCCTCAGGATCCTCATCATTTTCTCCACCCTCGCTTTCTTCACTGGACTCGTTGCTGGTTCCAAGCTTGGACAAGTCACAGGAGCTGAAATTCATTTCTTCGTGAAGATCACTAGCCAGGACTTTAAGTTTCCGATCACTGAAACCCTTGATAGGAAGCGCGTAGCCTTTGTCGACCAACTCGCGGTTAATTGTCCAAGTTTCTGACCGAGCTGGAGCACAAGGGTCGTCGACTATCGACTGTTGGAAGAACATGTCAACTAGCATGGCATCGTCCTCGCTCTCAGCGACCTTGCTGATGAAAAAGTCTCCGTTTTGATCGAGAAGTTCTTGAAGCGACTGGATGGAACTTGCGGTCCAAGACTTTGACCCACCACAGGGAGCAATTCCAGCGAGCTTAACCTTGAACACGTGGATGGGAATGTCGTAGAGCTCGGCTCCGAGGCTGAGGAGGTCGCTCGCGGCCACCTGGGCAGTCTCCCCGTAGTCTATCAAGAAGACGATGACTTCTTCAGGAGAAATGACCTTCTTTATCTTGGCGCGGTAGTAGCAGTTGTGGTCCTTGCTGTAGACAGCGCAGACGGTGTCTTCGACGAGCTTAACCTGTTCATCAGTCGAGTGAGTTTCGTAGAACCGCTGCATCTTCTTTACTATATCATTGATAGCCGTGCTCTCGTGGACGCTAGTCACGTAGATTTCAAAAGGAGACTTGACCAGAGAGATCACAACCTGGACCTTATAGGGGTCTTCCAATTTCGGGAGCTGGTTCTTCGGCTGGTTCTTGGGCTTCTTTGAACTCTTGCGACGATTGAAGCTCTTTTTCTTCGACTGGATGCCCATGAACCGGGACTGCATTTTTTCTAGAACTCCGGTGCTGACTGTCTGGGCGGAGATTTTTAAATACTGGAGATAGAGCGCCAATGACAAGCGGTTTTTGTTTATTATCGAGGCAGTATGATGAAGGAACCCGTCAATTGCTACGCTGTCGTAGATGACTACTTGAATGTTGATCGGATTCATGAATTGCTTGATCGCTGCGTTGGTTTCCGGTGACCAGCCTTCGGCTGGATCCAATGGCTTTGCGTCTTTCAGGGAGAGCTTAATTGCCTGTCAATTTTAAAAACAGGCAGTTAATTATCGGGTTTTTCAGTCAGAAGATATTGCTGGCAGTTATTGTTTTTTTTTTTTTTTTTTAATTGTTTTTTGAGGTATTGATAAATTGGAAGTTTTAATTTATTGATGGTTTAGTAGTGAATTTTTAAGTAATTGGGTAATTAAATTAATTTAAGAGAAATTTTTTTTTTTTTTGAGATGAAAAAATTAAAAAAAATATCTTAATGTATTATCGTACTTTACTATTAAAAAATTAAACTTTCTTTATAGAACATCAAATGTAAAAAAATGAAACTAATAAAATTATAATTATGTTAAGTAAAATTAATAGATAAAAAAATTTATACATACCCGTACAGTCGATTGAGTATAACGTGAATCAAGTCGGCGAATTTTTTGATAATCAATAGTTGTGTTGATACCAAGATCTACTAGCAAAACTTCAATAACCCTGACTCCAACAACATCGACAATTACTCCACGGTACCACGAATTTTCGTGAGGTACAGCAACGTTCATTCCTAAAAAAAATTAATAATTAGTAGTATTTAATAAATAATAATAGTAGCATTTAATTAAAAATTTTTTTTAATTAATTAAAATTTTAAATTGTAAATTATAATTTATTTCATCTTACTAATGCTATAAGAGCGTATAAAATAGTTACCAGTTTCGGGACAGTAAATATATCCTTTGATTCTTTTGGTACTTTTGTAATCTTCAGTCATTTTTTGTACCATATTTTCGAAATAATGTTCATTGTAAGAAGCCTTTCTTACATAAATGCATTCCGGTGAATAAGAATTCAAATAAACAGCGTCGAATAACTGATCAGGAGTCAAATGTTCATGGTGGAATACATTAGAAGCTGAAGGATTTATTCTCTGCAATTGAAATGAATAAAATTAGTTAAAAAAAAAAAAAAAAAAAATACTTTTCCACTAAATTTAGATTCGATAAAAAATTAATTTTAGAATCAAATAAGTTTTATTCAGGCGAACAAACCACAGGAGGTAACACCAACGATTATTGTTTTATTTTAAAATAATAATTTAAAGAAACTCACGTATAATCGAGCTGTTGAAATAAACTTGCCGTAGCCTAGAAAAATCAAAGCATCGCGCAATGATAGCGGGAAGGTTGTTGGGCTGACTGGAATTAGTAAATCTTTGCCTCCTTCTTTGGTTGTGTATAATATCGGCGCCCTTTCAGCTCTGAAAAAATTTTTAATTTAATAAAAAAAAATTTTCTAATTCAATAAAAAAAGTTTAATATAATTTATAAAAAAAATTTTTTTTTCTAAAATTTCATATAATTGATAAAATACATACGAGTCAATTATTTCTTCCATGTGAGCGACAGAATCATGGCACCAAGACTCTCCGATCGGTGAGATATCATACAACGAGAACTTTTGAACCAACGGAGGAATATCTAATAGATCTTCGAATAAATTTCTGACATTAGCTATTCCAACTTCAACATCAGTGAACCCATGATCGATCGCAAATACTTGGTAGACGGGGTAATAAACTGGACCCTCTGCAGATTTAGATCCCATAATACGTCCGCGATACCACTTTGGATTTCCACTGCGATGAATTACATACAAGCCACCTAGACAGAAAAATCCACAGTAATTAAACAATGAATATATTTAATTATAATTTCATATTGTTTATACCTTCAACAATTTTTCGAGGTACTTGAGTGTTAACTTCATTGTACTTCTCTAATTTTTTCTCTAGCTCTCTAAACTTTCCATCATTCATCTTCGCTCGTATGTAGAAAGCATTCGGGTTATCAATATGGGTGATTGTCACTTCTATGCCTGATACAAAAAAAAATTAATTATATATTTATAAAATTACGGCTTTTTTTTAATAGTAAGAATAAAAAAAATTTACCATTTCTAATTTGTTTTTCAGTCGTTCGGATACTTTTTGCCGAACCCTCCACAGAATGCATTGCTGAAGTATCTGACTCAATTACTGAGCTCTCGGATTCTGAATTTAATGTCAGGGATTGTCTTCCAGATGAGCCTGAAGTTTCTGAAGATGGCGGTGATACTTCTGGAGATTTTTCTGTTTGCTTTTGGAATAAAACTGAAAAATTTATGATAAATTAGTATTAGTAATTTTTTATTTCATAGTTAAAAAAAATAATTATTGTTATTAAATTATGAAAGAAATTTTTTTTAATTTATAAACGAAAATTTTAAGAAATATTTCATCTTATCTACGCACTTGTATTTTAACGTTCAATAAAAACTAAATCGTCAATTTTTTAAAAATAATTTAAAAGTCAAAATATATCAAATTTATTTAAAATCTTTTTTTTTTTTATAATTTAAACATGCAGAATTTTTGATTTATAAAAAAATAATGAAGAATGACAAAAGCTGGGACATAACTTCAAGACTAACAAAAAGGTTATGGTCGGTCTTTGTCTTTCTTCTTTCTTTAAGCGAAATTTTGATCGATTGATGATAATGTAGTGATAAGATTGAAACTCGAAATTTTGGGGGAGTGTTATTTAATTTTTATCTATTTAGAGTAAAATAATAATAATAATACTAAAGTAAGCCGACATTTTTAATTTTTTTATTTATTAAATTAAAATTAAAATATATTTTTTTTTAATTTCACTCAAAGTTTTTCAAATTTTTTTTCTTATTTTTTTGTAATAATTTTTTTAATAAAAAAAAATAATAAAAATTTTTAGATGTCGGCTAACTCAACTTAATTTTCATGAAATAATATCCGAAGAATAAATAAAAAAAAAAAAAAAAAAAATATTTAAAAAATTTCTATCATTATTTTTTATTTCTTCCCATTTTTAATTTCTAAGCTGAGAGTCTATTAACTTTTATAATTGTTTAATAAAAAAGTTTATCAACTTACCCGGAGGAATTTGTGACAAATTTTCAGACCTGTCCGTAACTTGGTCATTTTGTAGTTCGTCGATACAAACCAGTTTGTATGAATCATTAGAAGACACCATTATAATGTCACAGTTATTCTTTATTGTTTCTATTATTTCTTCAGAATTTATTTGAAATCTGTTGTAAAAATAACAAAAAGAAATTTTTAAGTATTACTAAAAATAACAAAAAAATAATTTAACAAATTATATAAGTAACTTACTTTAAATTAGATTGTTTAGAGGGATTCTGTGGATCTACAAGATGACACGGAAGCTTTAATAGTTCTTTAAACTCATCGATTATCATTTGATGACTGACATTCTCTGAATGCTTCTTTGCAAATACAGCGGTCTGAAAAGAATTTTTAAATATTTAATAAGAATAAAATATAATTTTATATTTTAAAAATAATTTAAAAAAGATCCAAACTATAATCATCAAGATAAATATAGTAATTACCACAATAGCAGACTCTAACTGTTCTTTAAGAACCTGCAAGCTGTTATCAATCTCTTCAAGCTGTGTCCTTTCTTTGCGCCTCTCTTCATACACCACTTGCATCATACGCTCCTCGAGAAGTTGCAGGACTCCATGGATATGAACAAAACTTTTGCTGATTTCAACTTCAATGCCCTCTGTGGAATAATCTTCTTCTTTCATTAGTATCTTTTTTGTCTTCTGCAATCATAAAAAAAGAATTCAAATTATTAAACATTAATCCTTAATTTTACACCTTATAAATAAACCAATAAAGAAACTACACAATAATTATACAAATTAAAAATTTATAATTTAAAGTATTTTTTTGTCAATTTTAGTAGATTTCATAAAAATCGAATTATTGCAGCCGTCCTCAAGGCGCAACTTTTGAAAAATTTACTCATTTTATGACTCGGTTTATCGAGCTCATTTAGAAAATATATATAGTTCAAAAGTTTATATATGCATGTATTTATATAATATAATTATATTCTAATTAGCAAATTGTTTAATTCCATTTTAGAGAATCTTCAATTTGTGCAAAAAAACAATTAGTTGAAAATTTATTATCACTTTAAAAAACCATTCAAATAATTTATAATTGGATTATTGCTATATATATTTATATATAGGATATAACGCCGTTTGTCACGACGATAGCGTCTCTAATTCATAATGGATCTTCTCCAAACTCAACATACTTAATTTTTAGACGAATATCAAGGTAAAGCTCAAAGATGAACTTAATCAGTCAAGTAGTTCAGAAATTACAAGGTTTAAAATTTTTTTAAATTCACATTTTGGCAGTTTCTTTCGCGGATAACTTCTCAATGAAATAACTTATCAAATAACTTTTGTAAATTGCATATTTAAGCCCAATAAACGAGCTTTAATTTTCATGTAATTTTATTCTCTTAGACTAAAAATGACTTTTTCATTTGAAGATATTTAATGAAATTTTACTATTGCATTCGTTTTAACTTAGGGAGAAGAGATTCCGTAAATGTGATTGAAGTATTTGTATTATTATTGTTGTGATTTTTATTTAAGTAAAAAGTCTGCTTTCATTTCGGCTGCCGAATAGCACTTTTTTTTTATCTTTCATTAATTTAAATTAATAATAATAAATATTTTAAAATTCTGACTAAATTATTCAGTAATTAATCATGAAAATGAAATTAACAGGCACCTGATAATTTTTAGGATTTTTCATATTAAAAAAAAAAATTTCACTTTTAGAAGATTAAAAAAATTAAAAGTGTAATTTTTTTTGATTTCAAAATCATAATTAATCATGTAATATTAAAAATTTTTTCTAAATAATATAATTTATTGCCATATTTTTCATTAAAAAAAAAAAAAAAAAAAACAATAAGAGTTAAAAATAAAAAAAAAAATGATTATCCAGGAAGAATATACGTCTGGAGGTTGCTGGCTGAACATCACCATCAACATATCAACATCAGGTGAGAGGCTGCTAAGTAATCGAGGACACAGCCTCTCATCCTTTACATACTTATACTCTTATATATTACATTACATATTATATATTATATCTTATATATTATACATTATACATACACGACCTCTTCTATAACAAGATATAAAATATAAAATAAAGCTCGAAGCATTAATTAATATAATAAAAATAAAAATAAAGTAAGAGGCGCAACAAAACAAAATATCTTTACACTTAAACCGTGCCTTGCACATCTCTCTCTCTCTCTTTCTATATTTATCCATGGAGTATAATAATAAGAAATGAAAGATTGGAATGGCAGGGAGACCCATCGTCTTAGCACCTCAATCGCGGCTCACTTGTGAATGCTCAGTCTTTCTCGTTCCCTAGGCCGAGTAACCGCGTCTGGATTTTGTTTACATTTTTAACCCGCGGCCCATCACCGGGTCCAAGGGTTCATTTAAATTAATACGCAAAAAAACGGTAAATAGTAAATTAAAAAAAAAAAATTGAGGATGGACGGTGAATGATTGAAAGTTGAGGTCATAAATGAAATTTAAAAAACTTTAGTAAAAAATGATTCGACTGAAATCATTGTTGATTGTTGCCGCTGCGATGCTTATGCCATTAGTCGGTAAGTATTGATTAATTATTAATTAATGATTATTTGATATAATATAACGAGTAGATGAATGAAAGGAAGAATTAATTAATACTTGGGATCGGTATTAAGTACAAGGATAAGTGGTTTGATTAGTTAAGATAATTATGTTGATGATTAAACGGCATTAGTAATTAAGTCGTTGATTTAATATTATGTTTGTTGCGTTTTAGGGGTGGTAGCTTTCATGTGTCTGTGTTATATAATATCGTTTAATATAATGTCATGGGAGAATGGGAGGATGGTTTAGATCATGCAATTTAGTGAATTAATAGATGGTAGATGATATACACTGATGGAAGAATTTATTTAGATTTTTTAATAATTAATAAAAAATTTTTTTGGAATAGAAATAAATTTTTTAATAAATAAATAATTAATTAGTTCATAAACAAATAATACTACTATAAAAAAAAAAAAAACTTGAATTAAGAGAAAAATTTTTAAACCAAAAAAATTATTTTCAAAATTTTGTCTTGAATAAAATAAAATTTTTTAATTTAAAAATTTTCAATTTTTTTTTCAATGTAACTAAGATACAATAAATAAATAATTTATTTATTTATAAACAAATAATGCACCTATAAAAAAAAAATAACTTGAATTAAGAGAAAAATTTTTAAACAAAAAAAATTATTTTCAAGATTTTATCTTGAATAAAGTAAAATTTTTTAATTTAAAAATTTTGATACTGAAAATTAAGACGGTGTGGTTCTTTAAAATCATTTTATTGGTTGATAAATTTTTTTTTCAATGTAATTAAGATACAATACATTAATAATTTTAATTGTAAAAAAATTCTATAAATAATTACAACTATTGTTTTATTATTAATTTTATTTTCTCTATTTTTAATTAATGAATATTTATTAATAATTATTAAATATTGACTATAAATAATTAACTATTGAAAATTAATAAATTGCAATTGATAAGTGAATTATTAATAAAATTTTGTAACTACTAATAAATGAATTAAATATTTATAAAATTTTTAAGAGTTAATAGAGTCTATAAATAATTAACAAATCCTTGTATCAGTGTAGATGATAGATGATAGCTGATAGTTGATATCACGGACTATTGAGTGGTATAGTATGGCTAGGCTATACCTCTAATGGGCAAGGTGTAGTAAAGGTAAAGTGGAGACGAACTAAACGGACGGGATGATCACGGATCTTTGATCCTCAGGGAATCCCGTTGGCGTTTAGAGTTGCGCAGAGAGTTAATTGAATCACGCGTAGTTATAGTACGTAGGATAGTTGCTGTTGTCGAATAGAGAAGAGAATAGAGAATAGAGAAGCTAACCGGTAAATGGGTAAATCCATAGTGTGTGCGATTTTACTTCTTTCTCTGTTTGTTTATCCTGGTAATTCTTGATTCTGCGGCTCTAAACTCTAAACTCTAAACTAGATACTGTTATGTATAATATGTGTACGTTTAGTTGTTGTATGTACACGCAGACGGTTTGTCGGTTCACATTCGCGTTTACGTATACGGTACCCGATCGAGATATACAACACGCGGGCGTACGTCCAATGCAACGACAGTTACCGCGGGGTTAATTGCAACAACGAGAACGCCTGTCTCTCACAGATATGAGGAATTGCCACGACTCGGTTCTCTTCTCTGTTATTCATTTTTTAACATGTTAAAGAAAAATATACACTTGTATGAATATGAATATGGATATGGATGCTTTTTATTAAGTTTTTCTTTTTTTTTATGCTGTGACGGAAAAAAATTTCATTAGGACAAACGCTTTTTATTGTAAACAACATTTTATTATGAATGGTGTGGAAATTTAAGATAAACATTCCTTGGGGTAATTAATTTTTTAAAGTAAAGAAACAAAATTGAGCTCTTGTTTTGACAAACATTAAAAAAAATTTTTTATATAATTTATAATAATTTATAAATAATTATTCTATATTTTATTTAAAAATAAGATACTTTTTTTTTTAAAGAAAATATAGAATAATTATTTATATCTAAGTATGATATGTTTTTAATGGAATAATTTTGGCAATTGATAAATAAAATATACAAAAATTTATTTTTTATAAAAAAAAATTTTTTTATTTTTAATTGATTATTTGAATAAATTTCTAAGGTTGTTTTTTATTTATTAAAAATAAAATAATCTATTAAATATTTTATAATTATTAAAATTTACACATCATTCTTTTTTTTGATCAATAAATAATAAAAAAAAAATTATTAAATTGATAATAAAAATTTTGGATGCAATTTTAAAAAGTACTTAATAAAATTAAAAAAGTCAAATTTTCAATTTTTTAATACAATATTTTAATCTAAAAAAATTAGTAATTATCATGCTTTAATATCTAAAAAGAGATAATTAATTGGTCTTTAGGTAAATAAAAAGCAATAAATTGTTAGCAATTTAAAGCTGATCGATAAATTAGAAAATATTTAGAGGAATATTGGTCGTAAAAAAGAAAAAAAAGTGAAGAATGAGCGATGAAAATATTTTTTAATAAAGTGAAGAATCGAGGATTTATATTGAAAGGAATCCGTTACTATCAATGTACAACAAAACGATGGTAAATTGAATGAGAGCGAGGACGGTACGACGACGAGGAAGTCCTTGAAAGAAAATTATTCTTTGAGATCGGAATCAAGTACCACGGCAAATAAATCTCCGAGACATGAACCAGTTTAAATCACAATAAAAATGATAGATAAATAAATATAAATATTCAGTGGAAAAATTTCATTTTAGTTTTTTTGAAAAAAATAAAATGAAAAACATACTGCACAGCCTTGGGCTCGGGCGATAATTGATATGGGAATCGTGTTTATTTGAGGACACAAAATCGGTACATCAGTTCATTATTTTCCGTATGATACTAACGTATCCATGGATAATTTTGTCCTTTTTCAGTTAAAGTAACAGAACAGGGAGGAATAAAAATGAAAAAATATAAAATTCAAGCTCTCTTCCGTGCAGTTTCTTTTTATCTCTTTCTAGTCGATGAATCGATTAAAACATCCGGTGAAAAAATGGTCTTGCACACCTACACATCCAGATCTACCATAGAGACGCACCAATCGT